TAAAAGGTTTAGGAAAAACAGCAAGAGATTTACTGCATGAATTGCAGTGTTCTGCTAATGTGCACCTATGTGCTAAGCTCTTGTTATTAAAATGTACATGCATTACAAATACAGAACACTGTGAATGTTCAGATCTATTACATGCAAATAATTCCCTGACTAATTCACTTCATAATTTCTAAATAAAAATAAGACTTACATAAGAATGGATCATTTACATGCTCTTTGACAGGAAAGGACACATTAATCAAGACTAAATCACAAGTTTAGAATTGCATTACTAAATAATTTAAACACCAAAAGCTGCACTTCTTGCTAAAAATCCTTCCATCACTGAAAGAATTTGTAAACACTGAGGATGTACATTTATACAATTTACAGTCTCAGCAGGAAATAAATTTCTGGCTTCTCATCACTGCTTGCCTCCATCTGCAAAACAGAATCATCAGTATAAAACTGATCATTAAATCTGTACCGCAAAGAAGTGCATGCACCCTCTGGTATGCCCCGACCTTCCACATCCTCCTGATTGAAGTTATTCAGATATCTTGCAATGTAAGAGCCAGTGGAATGCCTGTTGATAACATGGGGTGAGGCTGATGGTTTGTTTCTGAGAACTACCCCTGCTATGTTGCTTGCATTAGAAAGTTTTTGTTTGTTGGCTTCTTGTCTTTCCTTTGCACGACTGGCGATATTACGTACTCTACTCTGACTTCTGGATGACAGTTTTCTGACCAATGCCTTGGGGCAATCATCATCGTCATTCTGTTTAGAATACAATGCTTGACAGCTGTCTTCCTGGTCAAAAGATACCAGTTTTCGTAGCTGTTCTGTAAGAGCATCTGTAGAATGTGGTCGCTGCATATTCATAGCAGCCACTTTCTTGTCCCTCATGCCAGATGTAATAAAGCTTCTACTTATGTATTTGTACTTGCTTTCAAAGTTGCAGGAGATATCCTCTGATGTCAAGTCTCCAAGGCTTTTGGATTTGCAAGGACTAGGCTGTTTCACAGCTGCAGGAGGAGGGAAAGGCAAAGCATTCTGAGGGGTAGCAGAGTACATTTTATTAAAACATGATTTTCGGGAGGTACACGCCACATCCTTTTGTATATCTGGAGTTTGACAATGATTATTAGGCAAAAAGTCAACACTATTATATTCTGGGTAAGGAAATGGTTGTTTTGAACTATCTGGGTCAATGCTGCAGAGGCCCTCCTTGACTGAGTTATTCCTAGAGATTCTCTCACCGTTGCACACTGGATCATGATTGTGCTTGAGTTTCAAAGGAGAAGCAAGCTGGCTCATATCTTCTCTCTTGTACTCATAAGTAGTTATCAAGAGGTCTTGGGAATCCCCATCAACTTCTATTAGACTGCTGCCTGCCGAATTTACACACACGGGGGGGTTAGCTAACGTATCTTCCAAGGTAAAACTATTAGAGGTACAGGAACTGCAATCCTCAAGTGTTTCCCAGTTTGTACCACACTTCCTTTTGGAATCTGCTTCAAGCAAATGGAGAGGAGATGTACAAGATGACACAGCAGGGCTTTTTTCTATGCAAACTAACTTCTTGCAAACCAGTTCATCTACTGGTTTACATTCAGAAACTGGTGTAAGAGATGCTTCATGGATAATTGTGTACACAGAATACTCTGTTGTCTCAGGGCTTGAGAACACAGTGGTATCTGGAGTTGAGAATAATGGTGAATCGACAGGTTTTATCAGATTGTGCTTACAGGATGTGTTCAAATCAACAGCAAAGAGATGTGGATGTGATGACATTACGCTGAAGGTCTGATTGCTTGTGCCGTGAAGACTTGAAACAATAGTCAGATTAGTTTGTTCATCTGTGATGTCAAACTGTCCAATCAGTGCTGAGACAGAACTGCCAACGTCACTCTCATTTGTTAGGGAAACCTCATCTATAAGACGAGAAATGTCACTATCTTGCATGGCAGCACTGGAGTGCAAATCACGCATGTCAGAACAGATGGTGGAAGAGATATCTGTCAGTGAAAAAGTCATTAGAGATCTGCTCCTTAAAACACTGCATTTATTGTTTTCAATATCCTCTTTTTGAGAAAGAGGATGTCTTGGCAATGTTTCCTTCTCCTCTTTATATACTTCAGTGTTGTCATCTCTTTTTTGACCTGTGCAGTGTGTGTCTTGTATTATTTCTGTTGCAAGTTCAAAAACAAAATCCTTCCTTGTATGAACAGGTTCATTGGAAAGATGATTTTCCTGATATACTGCAGGATGATTTGTTTCAGCTATCCCACTTGCAAAATCTAAACATCCTGGTTTTTCATGTATGGGTGATGATGTAGAACTGTCAGTTTTGGACTCTCTCTGGGGAATCTCATCTTTAAGCAGAGATACAGAATTTACAGTAGACTCAGCTTTCTCAGGTTCTTTTGAATTTTTTTTTTTACTTGTATCATCACTACTATCTGCTAAACGAAATAAAAAGCATATTAGTTATATACAACACATTGCCTATTGTTAACAACTATTTTGTCTTTAGACAGACAAATGGAGAATGTAAAATTAGTTACAATTGTGATAGGACTTAATTATGGGTTTGTGCAGGTTTAGTACAAATTATCTGTGAGATATGAATAAATGGGAAAATATAGTTGTAGGCACTTCATTGAAGCTTCCTTTGAATGTCTATTACATCAGGCATGTGATGTAATATTTGTTGTAAATAATGTCAATGAGGTACCATATCTTGCATATGTGGCATTACCTTCAGTTGTGTTCCTATTCAGATTTGTACTATAAAGAAGCATGGCAACAAAGACAGAACAAAACAGCTCTGTTAAACAACACAATATCTGGAAACAAGAGGCATGTTCATAAAAATTCTGAGTAAAAAATTGCATCTAGCTGGCCCCCATGCATAATGTTCTTAGCAACAGCTTAGAACAAAGACGTGCAATTTAAGATTTCATTTGTAAGTCTCTAATGACATTTATAGTTCTAAACTTCTGCAATTTTAAGAGGACAAGGATTCATATAAAGAATATATTTTAAATGTTTCTACATTTCTACAACTACTTAAGTCAAATCTTACCTCCATGCTTAGGTAAGATCCATGTTATCTAAGCAAGGGTTGAATGCGTATAGGAGAATTTGACCATTTATGAAATACACAATTTCTAACATTCACCAGAAATCAACTCAAGGAGAAATAAACAAAAAAAGTCACACTGCCTCCAAAGGTCATGATTGTCCATTTACTGTGCATTTAAAATTCCTACTATAGTCAATTGGTGGGTTTTTTTTATGTAGGGAATGCAAGACTGGTCCCCAGATCATGAAAAATAAAATAGTTCAAATGTTCTCCAGATCCAAAACACTGTATTGAAATAATTGCCACATACTCATTGAGATGCTCTGTAAGTTCTTTGATTTCCTATAGAGACAGAGAGAAGTGTATGAAGGCAAATTTCATTTTGGTTTAATTCCAGTTAGATTCCTGGAGATTCACTTAGCCAGGCAGTTTAGCAGGGAAGGGCCTATATTGGGTTCAATTTAACATCCATCTGTTCTCTGCTTTCTTTAATGAAACGTAAAAAATTGTAACCTGATAATTGACATCTCCTTCAGTCTGAAATATCTGTGCTTCCTTATCTTTCTGCAAATACCAGCCGTAGTTCATACATATGCACGAGTCTTGGCCACACCCTTTCAACCTTCACTCACAAAAAAGACTTGCTCAGAGAAAGATACAGCTTTGAAGTTCTCAGTAATCCACATCCTTTGAACCCATGGAGAAGGTCTCCTTGGTTACCTCCCATGAAGGAAATCCAGTCTGAATTTTATCATCTTCACTATTCAGCCTCTTCAAATCTGAGATGCCTAGGACTTAACCAGATCTTTCACTAACTGTACGATTTAGGGAGGGGAGTCCTGCTTACCTCTGTTCTTGTGGGACAGGTTCTATTCCTCCTATATGTAGGAGGTATTATATTTACTTCCTGTTATATCTTTTTAGGTCATCACACCAAGGCCTGTACCCTTAGCAGAGCATGCTCTTGTTAGTGACATCCTAGAGCCAATGAAGAAGTTTTTAATCACCTCTGTGTGTGTCTTCCAATGATAAGGACACACATATGTTTGGAGCTATTTCAGAAGGAGAACATTTCAAAAGAGACTGATTATGTTCTACTTTCTACTTATGTTCAACTACATATTTCTACATTGCGTCCTCCAGAGTTAAAGCTGGATTGCTTGCTACAGTGCTGATACCATTCCAGGCATGTCCACATATTGAAACATTCCTCTTTAGAAATGGCTCTGAATACTTTTTCTTGCTGCTTACAAGTTCTTTAGGGTAAAATTCCCTTCTTTACAAATTATTATATCCCTGGCCATGAATGCCCAAGCTGCACTAGTTTTGTGACAGATGAGGAGAGAATCTCTGAATACTAAGACCCTGTGTAATTCCAAGACTTGATAAATAGGCCTTAGGAGGAATTTCCTTTTCATCGTAAATTACTTATAGAGTAATGCAGTGTGCGCATAAATTCTGTTTTAATTCTGCTCATTGCTCCCTGCAAATCAGCTTTAAGAAGGACTAGATTCTTTGTTCCTACCAAGCTATGAGTGATGCAAGAATGCAGAGAAGTAGAACAAAGATAGCAGAGGTACATATTCTTGCCCTTGCCAGGGCTACATGAATCCCATGTAAATTTAAGAATGGCTTCATTGATTTTATCAGCTGCTTTTCCATAGACTAAGTAACCAGAGTGTAACAGCACTTTGTCCTTTTGTCACAGATACATGCCTGGCTCACTACCCATTTCAAAAGCTGCGGAAAAAGGAAGATGAGAGTTTTTTGGCAGTATTGCCATATATAAAAACCCCTTATTCTTTGAAGAACCATGTCTGCCAGGTGTACAGGCCTTTTACAAAAACAGCATGAGGCAGCCACCAGACACCAAGCTGACTTTCAGATTACACAGGGTAAAGCAGGAATGGCTGTTGTGTACTACTATGTCACAGAGGTCAGAATAAGAGTGCAGAGGATACGGCCAAGTCCTGGAGGCTAATCGAGGAGTCTAAACTGCCTCCAGTATTTGCAGGAAGAAATGTACAGTAGATGCTTCATATTGGGTAAGAAACCCTAACCAAGAAAGAAAATGTTTTATACACCATTGGCACATAATCAAAGGCTTTCTGGAGGTATTTAGATGCTCCAGCAAATCAAGTATTTGTCACATAGGGCACCTATACATGTGTAGGGATGCTCCTCTGACACACTGTAATTACAGCACATTGGAGCAGACTTGATTAATCAAGTCTGCAGGAGCATGGTAATTACCTCACTCCAACAGACTCCAGCATCAAGTGCCTCAGCATCCCCACGCTAAAAAATGGCAGAGAGGGTCTTTAAATAAAGCTCATTTGACAAGGATTAGTTAAAGTGCCCCCGCCGCCATTTTTCAGTGTGAGGATGCTGATACACATGATGCTCCAGGAGTTTTAATTAGAGCAGCTGTCAGAGCCACTCTAAGTGCCCCTGTCCCCCAATCTGAAGCATGTCTATAAATGCCCACAGAGTCAGATCTTGTGCCATTTGTTCAGGTTTTGTATCAATAACTCCACTGAATTCACATATTAAAAACCAGGCCAAATGCATTTAAAATATCTTTTTCCAGAGCTACTTCAAGAATCAAAATATACTGCAAACTAACATTTATATTAGAACATTAAAAAGACCCAAATTCTATCCTGATGTACCATTTCCCCATCTAGGAGAGGTTTTAAATATTATTAATTTAAAAGGTAAAGGTCAAGAATGTTAGACCTTTCTTCATCCTTTACATCTGTTTCCAAAGTCTATGTTATTTCTTATATGCACAATTCCAAAACACAAGCTTTATGCTATATTTCCCTTGAAAAAAGAAAAAGAAACACCCACTGGGCCAATCACCAAAGTCTTATGAATAAACACACAGTGGCAAAGCTTTAAAGAGATTGAAGTAAAAAACATCTGGTAAGAATGTAGTTTTCAGCTTTGAGCTATTAGTGGGATAATTAAAAAATAACTGCAACAAGAGCACTTCTTTTAAATATGAGAAGAAACTTAATAAGTGCCCTCTTAAGAAGAAATCTGAAAAATATTTAATTGATTTGCCTAATCTGTGGAGTGGAAAACTTTCTTGGGTTTCACTTGTCAAAACATTGAAGGAGATTTAAAAATGCATATGATTTTAAATTATATTATTACTTTTATTATATATTGGTTTGATATCGACTATAATCTTGACATCATATTGGGTTTGATCTTATAGCCCTTATTTACATGTGTTCACTGAAAAACCTGCATGAGAGTTGTAGGACTTGGGTCTATCAATACATTTTTAAACCTGTTGCACTAAAAGTCACTTTGGAAACATCTTACCAGAGGTACTTTCTTTTCTTTTGGCACCTTTAAGTTTTTCACTTTCTGGTGATGATGATCCCACAAGGAGATATTTGTCAGCTGTCACAGATGAAGGACGTGCTTGCAAACTCCTGGCTGTACGTCTGAGAACTCCTTCCTTGTCTTTCAGTTCTGATGGCTCAGACACACTGTCCTTAAATTCGGTAGTTTCCTGAAAGCCCATTTTGCTTTTCTTTCTGCCTTTTGCTGGAGCGCTGGCTGTGCGTCGGAGAATTCGATCACCAATGGATCGCTTCCGTACACAATGCCCATTGTTTTCAGCAGAATGGTGCTTGGGATTCTTGTGAAACAGCCCTCTGAATCCTATCAGCTGCCTACTCTGAAAATAAAAGATCCACCACAAGCTTTAAATAAGGTCATTACATTAAACTGATACAGCAGTGTGTTTCATAAATACTTATGACAGATGAATACAAAATTAAAATAAAAATATAGCAAAGTAAAAATTCACACCAGACAATTCACATGTATTCCAACCAGGAAATTATCAGCATAGGTCTCCATGAATTCATGCATGTATGAAATTTCTCCTCATTAGGGTGGCAGCCTGCCATGATTACAGTAGAGGTTTACTAAAAGTTTCTTAAATCAGAAATGACAAGACTGTAAGAAATGTGCTGTAGTGACAGGCTACCCATTAACTTGGAGTTTTATGACATGGGCTCCTCAAAGCAATGCTCAAATGTTCAGAATATTAATGAAGAATGATGTGATATGGTAGTTACAGATCATGCGATTAGGGTTGTTCAATAACTCCATGTCTAGCAAGTGCAAAGTGCATGCCAATGAAGACTACCTTTGTGGCTCCTAGAAAGTGCAATATAGTATAACTGGGATTGAGGATTAAAGGACTCCACTGAAAGGGAAAGAAATGCAAATATATTTTTGCCTACTGCTTTCAAGACCATGACAAAAGCAAACAACAAGGTAGTTAGAGCCTATATCAAATCCTTTGAAAATGTTAATTCGTGTTAGTCACACAGATATTGTGATTTCCCTGGGTGTGGAAGTGCACTCCTTTTAGATATGCCTTGGAAACCCAATAATACAGTCATTATTAAACACCTGATGAATGGACTAAATTATACAAAAAAGTCAAGACTCCTAGGGCTTTTTTTTAGATCTTCTGATCATGTAAATTCATCCTATACAATTATACTAAGAACTCAAAAATTCACTTTTTTTCTTAACTGCATTCCCTCTGAAAACTCTGAGAGTCAACAGCAGTAGTCTAATAGCAATCCCCACTGAATTTCAGGAACAATGACAGGGGATATCACTTGCATTTAGGGGCAGAACCCTGTATACACCCAACTGCTATTTTTGACACTTAAGCAGTTTGCAGTCTGACTCTATGCAAAGTAGGCTAAATTCTGATGGGGTAAGAATGTGACTCTATACGTGTGCAACTGAGTTATTCCCAGAGATTCTCTCACCATTGCACACTGGATCATGATTGTGCTTGAGTTTCAAAGGAGAAGCAAGCTGGCTCATATCTTCTCTCTTGTACTCATAAGTAGTTATCAAGAGGTCTTGGGAATCCCCATCAACTTCTATTAGACTGCTGCCTGCCGAATTTACACACATGGGGGGGTTAGCTAACGTATCTTCCAAGGTAAAACTATTTGGATACAAACCTCAAGTGTTTCCCAGTTTGTACCACACTTCCTTTTGGAATCTGCATTGGAGTCCTTCTGCACGCTTCCTCTACTCCCTGGAGGCTGGATAGCACTTTATAACTTTAACACTTTAAACTTCTGCATTTAACCCTTTCATTTTCTCCATCGACTGCTCCCGACTACCAGCACAACATTTTTCAGTTCAGACTGCAAGCCAGCCCCTCAGGTGCAAAGCCACAGAAGTATTTCTGACATGCAGCTAGCTGCTCAGTGGAGCACACAAGCATCTTGGTTATTATCTGGATAGAACAGTCCAAGCACCATGATTCTGGTGGCAGTAGTAAGACTATTCAATATTACAATGCTATATGAGTTCACTTTGTCATCTGGCCATTCCCAAATCTAGGTCACAACTCAAGCAGCTGTTCCAAGAGGTAAAGGAAACAAAGCAAAGCTCTGAGCTCTTGATGAGCTTGATAAAGCATCTGCCAGTGTTTCAGCACTGAGACTATCACTGCATGATTCCATTCTTGTAGGGGGGATCGCAACATGGTTGCTGAGCTGGGAAAAATACAGTGTATGCAAAAACCAAGTAGTAAATGTTTCATAGTGTTGCCTTATCAAATTTAAATATCTTTACATGCCCCTTCAGGAGTTAAGATCAAAAATGTATTTTGCTTAACGTATTGTCATGATTTGTATAAACACAGTGCACACACAGATCACTCATCTAAAATGGGGCAGTGACTTTGTTTGCAAAATATATGGCTCCTTATTTCTATCATTAAAAGGCCCATGGTGGGTGGGCAGCTGTAGTTTTTGGCAAAAGTCCTATTGAACATTCAGTAGCAAAGTTCAAACCATTCAGTTTCGTTTCCCATCTCATGTATTTAGAGAAAGAGAGTGTGTAACTATCAGCTAAACAGCACTCACATCACCAGTTTATAAATATTCTTCTAGCTATGTGAACCTCAAAAGGTAGGTTCTGCAGTGTTTGGTGGATCACAGAGGCAAAACTGGAAGAAGGAGGCTTTTCAGACAAATTAGTGTGGATGAGCGAAGGACATTTTTCCTTTCTCAAGCTCAGAGCCTGCATGCCAGAGTGCACAGACAGCTATCGCTGTTGACATGCTCTAAATCAGAACAGTAACTAGCTAAACTTGGCATTAGTGTAAATGATGACACAAGGTTTGCTCTACTGGAAAACTGGGGGTTTTGTCTTCTTTAATTTGTGGAATGGAGTGAGGTTTGGAGTTATAAAAACCTTGCTTTTCTCAGAAGTGTTACATAATTAATCACTGATAGAGGCAGGGGATGCTGTTTAATAAACCATTGCTCTGACCCAGTATGAAAAAAGCTACGTTCTTAAAGTTAAGGAATCAGTTGGAGCCCACATTGCTTCTGTGAGGCTGTATAGCTGCCTCTTTGTATTTCTGATTACAAAACACTAAACAGCAACATCTGTAAACCTCAGTAAAGGATCTGTAAAGGTAGGTAAATATACCTACCTTTCCATAGATTTCATTGATTGTTATATGAACAAATATAGATGCTTCTGTCAGTCCTTCTAAATACACATGACGATAGCCTAGTAATATAAAAAAGAATGTGGCAAAGAATCAAAAACATGTCCTTTATGTACAATTATCAACAGTTGCCCCATAAAAAGTCTTTTGCCTTTATACTTTATAAACACACTGACTGAACAATCCTGCACATTATTAACACTGTTCCCTCTGTCATCTTTGAGATGAGTTTCTCAAAGACCTTCACAAGCATGAGTTTAGTCTCACAATCTCCTAGCATGGCGTAGAGCAGGGCTGTCCAACATGAAAGTGGCCAGGGAACATGTGCCTTATGGGCCACATCAGCAGGGGCTCCACACCAAAGAGGAAGCAGTAGCAGGGGCCACAGGTCCCCCTAGGTGGCCTGCCCCATGTGTAGGCATGTACAGGCAGGTACCCCGCACCCCACTGTACCGCATGTACACATGGGCGTGTGCTCCCTGGTGTGACGCAGCATTCCACCTCACCTT